TATGACATATCGCCGATGTGATCTGATCCGCCATTGATGTACTACAGAGCGATGTTTGAGTGTTTCTAGTTATTATTCTCAAAATTCTTTCACATACACCTTTGATTTTATGAGGGGAATATACCATCAGGTGAAAGGTGTTTAAAAGGAATAGTGATAGTGTCATAATTTTAATTTTTTTTGTTAGGGTGTATTTGAGGCTATATGGCGGCGGTCTGTAAATAATCGAGTCTGGGCCAGACAGTCCAGTGATCAACATCATGAGCATCGATCTGCGCAATTGGGAACCGATGACATGTGTCAACCAAGTCACCTAGCCTGACCACCCTAGCCTGATCCGATCCCTGAGACATTTTAATTGCGTAACAGATCAATTCAAACATATATCATAACAGCACTGTACACATCCGTGTAAATATTTAAGGAAACACGCATGATCATATTGACAGTATTGCTTATACTTGCAAAAAGTACATCTGACAGGGCTCCAATTTGTTCTCTGTTACTTGCAACTACTTGTAACTTGCTAGTTACTCCTGGAACACCATTGTACAACACGCCCAGAACCGAGTCAGATGGCGGTCGATAGTCTGTGGCCTATGCTCTACCAAGAGCGAGAAGGCATAAGTCAAGTAAGTCACTTGCAACTACATGCAAAGTGTAACCTACCGACATTCGTCACCACTCGCCCTTTCCGTAATCCCCAAGAAGACTCGTCCCCGTCTCGATGCTTGTTATGTACGAAAATACGATAAACCAATCAAACCGCGCGTAATGGTTGCGGTGCTTTTGATAAAAATAATCCCGACGACTTAAATCGTTTATGGCATTATGTTATTGTTTAAAAAATCATGAAAATATATATCGTCATATTGAAAGTACTAAGAACGTAGCTAACTGAAGTGTGCTGTCTAATGTGAAGTTTGTGATACGAATCATACGATTGACGGTGAGAGATTCAAATACACGCACGTGAGTTTGTTAACATAATGGCTCTCATGGGTCCAACTGAGTGTATTTCTGGCGATCTTGTGGTGATTGTACGTGCGCTTCCAACAGTTTTAGGAAATGTAATCATAAATAGCTTTGTGTTTCAAAACAATAATATTATGTCTGTAGTCTGTATGTAACTAATCAACTTTAATCTTTAGCATTGGTCATATATTTCAAATCTCTGGGAATATTTTAGTCTGACCTTTTTTTGGTCATTCACATATTTTTCAGCGAATTCATTTAAAATCCCACTTGGGGTATGACAGCAAGGTTACACGTATGTTCAGTTTGACAATTATTTAAAAATAATTTTTCAGTGTCTGCTTTGGGATAACTAGAAACACTCAAACATCGCTCTGTACATAGTAGATCGATAGAATTTAGTCTTTCTTCGCTGTGTACCGAGAATGGAAGTCAGTGAGCTACAACATGCCGACTTGAAACTTTACTACAAATCTACTGTACTAATATTGACACTTATAACAATTATTTGACTTAAAATGAATGCCAGGCCCCACACAGCACGTCACACTAGAGGGCCTCCAGAACCACAACATCAATGTGCTCCCCTGGCCCTCAAGATCACCGGACTTAAACCCGATCGAACATCTGTGGGATGCCCTGGACAGGCGGGTGCCACGCCGTAGCCCTCAGCCCCAGACACTTCAGCAACTCGCACAGGCACTGCAGGCAGAGTGGGCTCCGATTAGGCAGCACGAGATTCTGAGACTTATTCGTTCGATGCCGAGGCGATGCCGTGCAGTTCTGATGCCCACGGTGGTCACACGAGGTATTGACTTCAGCGCCACCACACGTCTCCATGTGACACTCAAACTGACTTTCCTCGAGTTGGTGCCAAAGACGGATAAGTCTGCATTCCCAGTGTGCAATTTTGCTATATTTCATTGACTCATAAAGCCTACAAGATGTTTCAAAATAAATATAAAAATACAGTTGAAATTCCTATATGCGTTTCTTTTTTGGAGAGTATATATAGACACGTGCATTTAAACATATACAAAGTCATTATACCATCCAGGCATTAGAAAACCTGAAAAAGCCCACACTGCTTTGATACTTTATTACAATCAGACAAGAACTACAGGGGATATTTTCAAATAACTGCATCTGATAGGCATCCACCCTTCTTAATATCGCACTGTTTAGGTTGAAGAAATTAACCGTAACCGCGATGAGCGAGGGCTGATCATCGTTTTGCTATCACTAGCGTCTGGCTCGAACAAATAAGGCCTAGCGATACCAAGCTATTTTTAACAGAATCGTCTATGAAAACAACTCGGAAACTAGGCAACGCAGGAGACAAAATTAAATGACATTAGATTGTGAGAACATATAGCTTTCACAACAGTTGTCACGATTTCAGGTTTATACAAACCTGTAAACAAGATCATTTACCCCCTGAAATGTACATGAATTCTGCATCGGCCCTCATATCTAGTCCTCATATGACGTCACAGAGACGCGCCGCTCTGATTGGTTGAAATTTCGTTCGCGGGTGAGAATTGTGCACTGTTGTCAAAAAGGTCGATTTAAGTTAATTAAAGATCGAAATGAGTAGTTTTAATGACGGGGTTTCATTTATAACGATGCCAATTAGTGATAATGTATTTGTAGCCCCCTAGTGTACATGTGATCTTGAATGCATAACGCCTCTTGACCTCACCTTTCTCATCACCCATGTACAGAAACATTGCCATTAAAATATTGACATGGCCCGCGAAAAGACCCGCGAAAGCGCGCGAAAGCCCGCGAAAGAAGCCCCGATACACCATCGGACATCTTCGGGGCTATCTTGGACGACAAGTGCGAGCTAGAAATCCTTCCGTTCATATTCTGCAGGAATTTACGCAGGCAATACATAACAATGGCTATTTATAAAGCGCCTGTTTCCACAGACTTGTGCACGCATTGTTATCCTCTTTAACCCAACTCAAGCGCTCAGGGTCAAGATACCAAACGCGGTCACCTATCCAAGACTGTCCGCTACCAGCGTTGCTTACATTCAACAGATTTGTGACCTAGGCTGTATGCACAGGGCCACACACCGCCACATGAGGAATGACAGAAGATTCCTATGCTGAGAATTCAACGCTGGATTGCCAGAATGAGGTGTAGAGTGGCAGATGTTATCCGTGCGTGGGATGACAACACCAGATACTGGTTGCCACTGGTGGTTTATACAATCACAACAATCAATATTTGAGAACTTTAACTCACTTCTGGCATTGCTGCTATCCACGTTTTGTAATTATATTATTACTAAATTTTAAGTACAGTTTCGTTCAGAGTAAAATATGTCCACTTACCATTTCAATCTTCGGTGTTTGGTTTCCAAAGCATATACCACATCTAGTGTTCAGTATAATATAAACAAATAAAATATATATCATATGAAAATGTGGGTGGTGTCTGATTAATATTGATGCCAATATATTAATATGAAAACCAATTAATTGAAACAATACTGGCTAGTCTTTATAAACCAAGAAAAACCAAAACAGTTTTTGTTTTCACAAAATATTTCTATTCCATCCTTTGTTTTCCATTTTGTCATTAACTATATAAATTGTAAGCATACACACTCATAAACACATTGGAAAGGGCGCTCGAAATTGAAACCGAGGTCCTGTACCTTTTCATAAGAATTATGTTTAGACATTAAAAATCTTTAAACAATAATGATTAATCGTTGATGTAGGATTTGGTTGTACCCTGTAACACTTTTCCTGGAATGTGCTATATTACCTGGCTTGTAAAGAGATTATCTGTTATAAATGTGTAATAAGGGACACTGTTACTTCTCATTAGGAAAGAACAACGTTCTTGCGTACCTTCGTTGCAGTAACGTGTAACAGATGTTATAAGGCAAACTGCAGTTGTAGCACACCTATTGATTTCATGAGTGAGTGAGTTTAGTTTTAGCAATATTCCAGCAATATCATGGCGGGGACACCAGAAACGGGCTTCACACATTGTACCCATATGGGGAATCGAACCCGGGTCTTCGGCGTGTCGAGCGAACGCTATAACCACTAGGCTACCCCACCGCCCCTCATTTCATGAGCATTCCTCTTACCTAAATGTTCAACTCTTGAACAGAATCGTCTTTCAAACCATTCCTTTTGCTCTAGCTTTTCACATTTTAGGCCCTAAAGCACCCAATGGCTCTCTCAAAATAGTATATAGGAACTTATGTGTCAATGCATAGCATATCTGGAATTTGGCGACAGCACATATGCCGTTAAACCCGAAGATGTGCTATGAATATTCATCCATTTATAATGATCTATTTTTTTATATCAATATTTATTGGAATTAGGAAAGAGAATTAGATGTAGTATTCATCTTTTTCCCTTAAGGACTTGCATTGGAATTGTGTTGTATCACAATGTGTGGAATCTGGGCCGTGTTCGGTAGTGATGTAGATGTCTCCGTGCAGTGTAAGGTGTTCCACAAGGTCGCTCACCGGGGACCGGACTGCTTCAGGATAGAAAAGATCAACCATTTCCAGAACTGCTGTCTTGGATTCCACCGATTGGCCATTGTTGATGACGTCAGAGGGATGCAGCCAATGAGACTACACACTCATCCTCACCTGTGGCTGATAAACAACGGGGAAATATACAACTATAAAACGGTACGTTATCTTTCTAAAATGGCATTGTGTATTTTCACAGGTACGTTATCTTGTCACTCGTATATATATATATATATATATATATATGTTAGTCCTTCACTATGATTAGTGATGAGGCCAACTGGATACCTTCAGTACAAGCCAGAAGGAGTCCATCTTCTGTCCCGTAGGCCGGGAAATCAGACCATAGCCAAGATCTTTAACCATGCAAGTTCAATTCCCTATCACACACAATGGTGGGGTGGGGGTGGGGTGGGGGATTAAGATGCCACTAGCAAGTCAGATGGTTGGCTGATGCTAGTTTTGAAGCCGTTCTGTAGGTGGTGTTACCATGAGTTGGGCTGATGATTTGTGTAGTGTTTGTTGTCTGTGTCAGAGATCCAGTTCTTGTGCACAGTTGTTATTGTCATAGGAGAACTTTAATATTGTTCATTTTTCGCAATGGTAAAATGCCCCTTGACACCTTGCTGGTGATAGGCTTTTGGAACAAGAAGTTCATAGACTGTAAGCATGCATATGGGAATCTATATAGTCGCACCACTCAAGAAAGTTGTATAGTTGGTGAACAATTTGGCTGTAGGAAGGGCTTCAAGACTACGGATATAATGTTTGCTGTTGACACAATTATCAATGAATATCTTTCCTATAAGAGAGGTCGGCTATACTGTGCTTTTATCGATTTAAAGGGAGTCTTTGACTGTGTATAGAAATGGTTTATTTTTTAAACTATGGAAAGGTGATTGACATTTTAGAAGATGCTATTTGATGAACATAGAGACTTTTCTGGGTTTTATCGTCTTTTTATTGCTTGGTACAACGTTTCAGGGCTTGTTCTGGCTCCATCATCAGGTAGAACTAAAGAACAGTAACTGTTAACTCTGCCCGTGACGTCACAATGCATTGTAACGTTACATTACATGTTTTAGAATTGTTTATCTTGCTCTTTGCCGATGATATCATCTTTATAGACGTGTCTGTTGTTTGTCTTAGTAAAGTTTTGGCTAAGATTATTAACTCAAGAAACCAACTTGGTTATGAAGAAATCTTATACTTTCCAATATAAAAGGGCAGAGAACGGTAGTGCTTGCTGGGCACTCAAGGTTAAATCATTGTTGTTTTCTTGGATGGGCTGTTGTATTCTTACATCAGTTTAGGCAAAGATGTGTAGACATTGAGAATGAAATCTGGCATGAAAATAGTCAATGTTGATGTAAACTGGAACTGTTCTTTACTATAAAAGATCATTTTCAACATCACAACTGGGTTCGATTTATCGATGTAAAATTATTTCGAATTAATATTTTAAATTTTGGATCTAATCACCGTCTTCTAATAGAAACGGGCAGATAGTATGAAATTCCACGAAATGAACGTGTTTGCCCCTTTTGTATTATACCAGTTGTCGAGGATGAATTTCACTTTTGTCTCGTGTGCCCATTTTACCTTGATCTGCGATCCAGTCTCATACCTCAATAATATCACGTTCCCAACTCCCAACTTCCTTACTCCTATAGCTACTAATCATAACATATGCAATAATCTGGCATAAAATATATGTCTTGCTGCTAAGAAACGTGATTCCCTTTTCAAAGGTATTTCTGTGAAATTATATCTTAGTTACACTAATGTTCTCAATGTACGTGTATTATATACAGCGCTCATGTTACAAGTGTACTTATCATACCCTGTACCTGTCTAATGGGTCGGTGGCCCCTTTACCGGAATAAAAGCAACTCAAGAGCAGTCGCACCAGAGACAGTTATCTGGCAGTGGTGTAATCCTGAAGTTAAGCAGAGCTTAAGTCTTTGTCTTGTGCCGTTTTCCAGATTATTCTTTATAGTTTGGTTGACTCCATCGGCCTTTCTCCTTTTGAGTCATGTGAAATGAGAACTGGATGTTTAGGCTGGATGCCTTGAGTTGCGCAGAAGTTTCTGACATCTCTTGAATCAAACTGTGATCCATTATTGGATCACAGTGAGTGAGTTTAGATTTACGCTCCTTTTAGCGATATTCTAACAATATCACGACGGGGAACACTAGAAATGGGCTTCACACATTGTAGCCATGTGGGGAATCGCGCCCGGGTCTTCGGCGTGACGAGCGAACGCTTTAACCACTAGGCTACCCCATCGCCCCAATGGGATCACAACAGCTGAGTTAAGCCATATATATTTAAAGACTGCTTTCATAGTGTTGATCGTGGCAAAAGAAATCGGTGAGCGACATCCTTGCATCTTGGAAATAGTTGACATGGCGGAGATACAGTTTGTTATGGAAGCCAAACAGACACAATGTACCCCAATAATGAAGCACACAACATTATGGATAACAACCTTTTGTTGTTTGGCCAATAGTGACGTTTAGATTCTTACGCAGTTATCAAGTAAAGAGTGTGCTGGCTGCCACGTCGACACGTAGACTTATTTGTTTGATCGCCATGCTAGAAGTTGGAGAGTCAATAAGGAAGCATTCAGCCTTATATTACAATTTTTATAGATCTGGTATTGACATGCCTCAAGTTGGTTTTCAATGAGATCGTCTGGTTCTCTAATACCTTCTGTGACTGGCTGCAGCCCTTCCTTTTTGACTCGTAGTCGATATCTGTTGCTTTGACGAGTGTCAGTTTCTGACCTTCTTTCCTAAACTTAGGATGTGGAAGTCGATCTCCAGTTGATTCCATTGCTTGAGTTTTCTTCATTGGTCCGATGTAATTCTCAAGTTTTGTTACAGAGTTAGTATTAAATTAGTTATATTTCTTCAACCGTCCTTCCACGTGAATGTTTACTGTAGTTCTCTGTCCTGTCTTTAATTATGGCTAAATTTGACTACAATCGCCCGCGGCTGAAGGGATGATGTAAATGCAGTTGGTAGCAAAAGTGCAATAAGTCCCCATGGTCCGTAGTATGGTGATCAACCTTCAGTTGCTGGTGATCTATGACCCGTTTTGTATATTGTACTGCTGTCTCTAGTGATTTATTTTTATGATAGCGTATTAGTTTTAATTTAAGAGCTGTGATAGTCTAGCATTTTTGCTGTCCTTCGATGACAAGTTTTTCTGTTATAAATTTATTGTGACGCTAAATATTAACTCACTCACTCATTTTTTTCCTGTCTGCTAGTCCACAGCACTGCTCTTTGTCTTGTCCCTGTCAGAGATTTTTGGACATGTTTGTAGAATCTCATGAAATCCTGATATCTTCAGCGTCCTAATCTGTTGATGGTTGTTCAAACTGGGCTTGATCATTGTTCAAGAAGCTCAACGGGTAAAGTCGAGATTACGTAGCGCTGGAGCTACTGTTGAAAAGGTAAAGTTATCTTGTTTGCATAAAATGCATGTGTGCTCAGGAGGATCCGCTACTGTCTGGCTCCATGTAATAACATGAGACATGGAGGAAGTTGAACATGTGGGTATGCTTCTGGTCGCTTTCAGCAGTGATTACTTTGATCTGAACAATACATTACACAAATGTCAAATATTCGAGTCGTTTTACAACAATGGCCGAGTATAAAAAAACCCTTTACTTCAATGCATGTAGCCACCATGATAATACTGTCAACACTTCCAGTTTAATAGTATCACTTCCGGTTTGGGAAATATATTGCACATGCACTATTGTCTCATAGGCGGTTACAGAGGGGGTGGGGTGCGCACCAAACCCCCACCCCTTGTCCTGAAAGTTTATTAAATAACCATTGAAACTCTCGTGGAAATGAAGTGTGCATCCCCCTTTCTCAATAGTGTGCACCCCCACCCTCCACCCCTTACTCAAAAAGTGCATCCGCCCCTGTGTATACACTGTGTATACCACAAGGAAGAACAACATCATTGGCTCTTCTGGTCCAGTGTCCTTGACTTCAATCTCAATCACCAGCTGTCGAATTATTTCAAATTGGAAGCATATATTGTTACAAATATAACGTTACTTTAGTTAGTAATCATAATTGATGACAAAAAGCTTTGAAGTTTAATAATACCTACATTTTAGCCGTGTTTCATAATATCCCCGCATGTTACCTACGAAGGTGATCCTGAAAGGTAATGCCAATGAGATCCACCCTTTGAAATCGTGTTTAGTGTTACATGTCATCAAATTCCAATCTTCAGTAGGGCTCGTAAGTAGGTCACGGCACTTCGCGAGACCTTACGTTGTTGAGTACTTCCAGTGACAAACAACGTTTCATACCTTTTCGAATGGTCTCATGGTTGTCAGTTGCCAGTAAGAAAAGATAATCCTTGCAGGAATAACAAATTTCCGATCTAACCATCCCCAAATTAGCCAACTATTATGACTGTCAACTTCTGTGACTGCCAAGCATGGTTGATCACTTGGTCCGGTCAAGTCATATATTTCGATCGCGCAATTTGGAACCAGAACCGGTTTTGAATATACGCTTGTCATTAGAAATCTGGTACCGGAAGTAGCGCCTCGCGAGACTTTCGGGCCCTATACGTTTTTTCTACAGAGGTGTTTTCGATGCTAATTTCTTTCCAAGTGACCTTGATCGTTAATGACATCCAAACAGAAACATGCAACATGGCTGTATTGGGAGAATCCCATGTATGAAGTCTCCAACATATCGCAGCCTTTCACTCCTACATAACCTATTGTTTCTAATTCAATATCTATTCATAGGTAGCCAAAGAACATGGATTCCATCTGAGCACCAACTGCGACACAGAACCAGTCATTCACCTGTATGCCAAATATGGTATTGATTTCCCCGCCCACCTGGATGGGGTGTTCGCCTTCTGTCTTTTGGACACAGCCAACAGGAAAGTTTTCATTGGTCGAGACACGTTTGGAGTCCGCCCCTGCTTCAGGCTTGTCACAGACAGTGGCTTCCTGGCTGTGTGCTCAGAGGCTAAAGGTCCGTATCATATATGGGTTTTAATAAAGGTAACTTAATCATTTGTTTGATAGTGAATGAGGTAATTTCTAGTTAATAAATTATTTCAAAACTTCAGAGTTCCATGGGGGAAAGGAATTTGGAAAAGATACACACAGTAGAGATTCTTTTTGTAAAAAAGTATCCTACCCAACTCCAGAAATGATGTCTGTATTATTCTGTGATATTCCAAAGATGACATATGAAAATAGCATGAAATATCCCAATAATTGTTTTCTACATATGTCCACATCTCTTAACAATTTATGTATCAAATAATCAGTATCAGGCATGAGTTTCACAACAATAAGTTCTTTACCCTGCAAAGGTTTATTTGGTCTAAGGCATAACCTCACTGACGAGGCAGCTGACATCGTCCACGTCGCCCCCGGTACAGTGGAACAGTACGACCTCGACAACAACGGACGTGCCACGTTCCGGGAGATGAAACAGTTCCACTCTATTGGCGACACCCCCCTGTACAAAACACCCGTCCCTCCCTACTCACTTGGTAGGTGTCTCAGTTATATGCCTGTATTAGACGATAGTCATGTAAGTGCAGCCTCTATAGTCTACAAAACTATTCACGCACCATTTTGAAAAGTACCGTTGTTATTAAGTTCCAACTTATAACACAGCAATAATTACAGTAGAAAAAGATAGGACGGTTTATTTATGGAAATTTTGGTCATCAAAAACATATTTAACAAATTACAAAATTGTTTCGATGCAAAATGTTCTTATGTTCTTCCGTCAAAACTACAGAAATAAATAACCATTGTTACTCACTTCTAACTTACACCACTTGTCATCGTATCCCAATTGCGCAGATCGATGCTCATGCAGTTAACCACTGGATTTTCTGGTCCAGACTCGGTAATGTACAGACCGTCGCCATATAGCTGGAATATTGCTGAGTGCGGCGTTAAACAACAAACCAACCAACCAACTTAAACCATAAAGTAATAATACATAATATGTAAGAGTGGTGTATTGTCATTGCTTCGATTATATAAAATAGGACCATGAAAGAAAATATTACATAATTATAAAAGTCAGTAAAATGCATGCGTTATTTTACAAAATTTCAAAACTGTAAACAGTGGTTTACTTTTCATTAAGCTACGACGAAGAAATGTTGCATCGTTGATTATGTAAAATCAGTATTTAGGAAATGCATACCGTTTTGTTTTATGAAACAAGAACACGCAAATACATATTTTCTTTCCCGATAGTGTGGTCTTCAGCAGAATTATATTCTTATGGAGATCCGATATTGTTGGCCAATGCAGGATTCTGGATTGTCATATGAGATCTTTATTGCAGAAACATCATTCTGGTTCACACACTATTATCGCCTACGTTTAAACGATGATTTAAACACTGTTTATAATCTAATCAATGATGCTGTTTATCTTCACGTTTTACAGGAAGTGATGTAGCGGAGAACATCCGGGTGCTGTTAGAAACGGCGGTCCAGAAGCGATTAATGGCCGACAGAAGGGTTGGTTGTCTGTTGTCAGGTACAGCCTTGTTTGAGACAATTTTTTCTTGTCCATTATATCTGTATTGACACAGTAATGTCTTCACAGTTTACCATATGCATAACACAATCCATGCATTTTTAGAAAATGCTGATTTCATCTACTAAATCTATCCATACCTCCAGTGACTTCTTCCGCTCACTGCTTCCATCCACTGATGACTATTACAACATGGCTATATAGATTAGCTATTTTTGACCCTTCTTGAAACAGAAATTACTTGTAGTATTGACTGATTTATATGTGTATGCATAAGATTCACCTCTATGAAATGTGTCCTTTACTTTCCAGGTGGTCTCGACTCAAGTCTAGTGGCTGCATTGTTAGTGAAGAATGCCAAAGAACTAAGGCTGCCATACCCGATACAGACCTTCTCTACTGGCATGGAGGGTAGTACAGATATCCTGGCAGCTAGAAAGGTGAGTCTTGGTGCGTTACATTACCCCACACAGACCTTCTCTACCGGCATGGAGGGTAGTACAGATATCCTGGCAGCTAGAAAGGTGAGTCTTGGTGCGTTACATTACCCCACACAGACCTTCTCTACCGGCATGGAGGGTAGTACAGATATCCTGGCAGCTAGAAAGGTGAGTCTTGGTGTGTTACATTACCCCACACAGACCTTCTCTACCGGCATGGAGGGTAGTACAGATATCCTGGCAGCTAGAAAGGTGAGTCTTGCATCATTACATTACCCCACACAGACCTTCTCTACCGGCATGGAGGGTAGTACAGATATCCTGGCAGCTAGAAAGGTGAGTCTTGGTGCGTTACATTACCCCACCCAGACCTTCTCTACCGGCATGGAGGGTAGTACAGATATCCTGGCAGCTAGAAAGGTAAGTCTTGCATCCTTACATTACCCCACACAGACCTTCTCTACCGGCATGGAGGGTAGTACAGATATCCTGGCAGCTAGAAAGGTAAGTCTTGCATCATTACATTACCCACACAGACCTTCTCTACCGGCATGGAGGGTGGTACAGATATCCTGGCAGCTAGAAAGGTGAGTCTTGGTGCGTTACATTACCCCACCCAGACCTTCTCTACCGGCATGGAGGGTAGTACAGATATCCTGGCAGCTAGAAAGGTAAGTCTTGCATCATTACATTACCCCACACAGACCTTCTCTACCGGCATGGAGGGTAGTACAGATATCCTGGCAGCTGAAAGGTGAGTCTTGCATCATTACATTACCCCACACAGACCTTCTCTACCGGCATGGAGGTAGTACAGATATCCTGGCGGCTAGAAGGTGAGTCTTGCATCATTACATTACCCACACAGACCTTCTCTATTGGCATGGAGGGTGGTACAGATATCCTGGCAGCTAGAGGGTGAGTCTTGCATCATTACATTACCCAATACAGACCTTCTCTACCGGCATGGAGGTAGGTACAGATATCCTGGCAGCTAGAAAGGTGAGTCTTGGTGCGTTACATTACCCCACAAAGAGCTTCTCTACCGGCATGGAGGGTAGTACAGATATCCTGGCAGCTAGAAAGGTGAGTCTTGCATCATTACATTACCCCATACAGACCTTCTCTACCGGCATGGAGGGTAGTACAGATATCCTGGCAGCTAGAAAGGTGAGTCTTGCATCATTACATTACCCGATACAGACCTTCTCTATTA